TGTTTTCTCTTCCTCTCCCTCTCTCGATCTCTCTCTCTCTCTCTATCTCTCTATCTCTCTCTTTCTCTCTGTCTCTCTCTCTCTCTCTCTTTTGTCTCTCTCTGTCTCTCTCTGTCTCTCTTTCTTTCTCTCCCTCCCTCTATCTGCTCTCTCTCTCTCTCTCTCTCTCTCTCCATCATTCTCCCCTCGTCGTTGTCGGAGCAGGACGGAGCAGCAGCAGAAGCTGCGCCAGCATCACAGGGAGGGGTCAGAGGCTGCACAAGCACCAACAGCAGAAGCTGCACCAGCACCAGCATCAGGACGGACCAGCATCAGGGAAGAAAAAAGTGGATCAGAGGAGGGGCGGAAGAGGAGGGGAGTAGGAGGTGAGGAGGATAGGAAGATGGAAGGAAGAGGACTCAGGACGTCGGCAACGTATACCAGAGATTAGCATCCCAGGATTGGCGACTGTAAGGGTAGAGTGGACGCACACACTGACCCCTCTCCCCAAAAAAAACATAACCACTGCAAGTCTCAATATACGTCTGGCTGTGAGACCATGGTCATGATCATGATGCTGATGGTGATCATCATCATCATCATCATCACCACCGTCATCATTACCATCATCGCCATCGCCATCATCAGCATCATCATCATCACCATCATCATCATCATCATCACCATCATCAGCATCATCATCATCATCATCATCATCATCATCATCATCATCACCATCATCATCATCATCATCATCATCATCATCATCATCATCATCATCATCATCATCATCATCATCATCATCATCATCATCATCATCATCATCATCATCATCATCATCGTCATCGTCATCGTCACTACCACCCCACAACGCCATCGTCATCACCCTCATCGCCATCACAATACACCATCGGCCTCATCACCGTTGTGCACAGGCTCCGCAGCCTCTCTCCACACCGGGACGGCCCACGCCCACACCGCACCTGGGGCTCCTTCCGCGGGTGTGTGGTTCAGCCCCAGCAGCCCCTGCCACAAGGGGGAGACGGGGGGGGTGGGGCAGGGCGTCGACGCCGCTGCCCCGAAGCTCTCGCCGAGGTCTGGCTTTGTCCCCCTACAGGAGGAATGTTGAAAAATAGCGCGAACAAACAATCGGGGGACGATCTTTTGACGATGTTTGACCAAGTTTTGAAGATGTTTCTGATATTTTCAACTTTCCGCACAAAAAGCCCCTTGTAAAGGGGACAGGCCCGACCAAAGTCTACCTCCAACCTCCTGGGGGGGGGGGCACAGGAAAGAGGATCGGGGGCGACGACTCGGGGCAAATCGCCCATGGGAGAGCCACACGTTTGTCCAGAAGCGCCGATGGCCCATGCCCTGGGCACGGCTCCCAGGCGAATGCGTGCAAATCGCCCCTATCGTTAGGTGGGGCCTGCCCTCCTACGGGCGGATTTCGCAGGAAAACGGCAAAATACGCGGAGCAATGCTCAACAATAGTCATGACTGATCAACAAAAAGCGTCCCCTGATTATTGTTTGACCATCTTTGAATACTCCCCCTGTCGAGGGACACGCCCGACTTAACCCTGTCCTCGCCTCCGAGAGTCGGGTCGGGCGAAAGGGGGGGATAGCAAAGGGGGGGTTTGAGAATCAGCTCACGTAGCTGATTTTCCCGGCGCCTCCCGGCGCCGGAGGCGGCTATGTATCGAGGAATGGGCCCCTCGGCGAGGCCGAAACCAGCTGCATGCAGCAAATTTCGTAACCCCCCCTTTCCCAATCCCCCCCTTTCGCCCGGCCCGAGAGAGGAGGCTGCCTGCTGGGACGCGCGCGTGGACAGCACCTCCGGCGCATGCGTGGACCACGCCCCTCGCCCCCAGGCCAGCGCCGCCGCACCGAGCCCCTGACCCCAAAGCAGTGCAAAGCCAAGAAGGAACCAGGAGGAGGAGGAGGAGGAGGAGGAGGAGGAGGAAAGTCGGCTGAGGACTTCTCGAGAATCTCTGGGAGGATCGCATCGGGTGAAGATGAAATCGGGTGACGAGAGAGTCGGGTGCGGGAAAGTCGAGAATCTACGAGAGCCGGCGGTTCGGGAGGGCGTCTCGGGCGCCGCGGCCTTCTCAGAGCGCTCTGGAACGCTTTCCGGGGACCGCCCTGGAGAGGACCCATCCTCGTCCCAGCCTCGTCCGAGAAGTGCTCGACGGAAGGCGACAGCCACAACGACGAGGGGGCCCCGCCTCCCTCTGGCCACCGCAAGTGCGCAGCATCTCCACGGCTCCCGCTTCGCTCCGGCCGCGGGCGCGACGTCGGCTGCGCACGACGGCCCCGCGCCCCCCCCAACTGGATTCGCCGCCGTGCCTCGTGGCACGCTGAGGTGTGGAAGAATGCCAGGTGCTGTCTGGCAGGGTCGCTGTAGTCTTCTCGGGGGCCCATTCACCCTTCGCGCCGAACACCCTTCACGTGCACCACCCCTCGTCCTGAAGGTCCCTGCTCGGCCATGGCGTTCCCCGGGGGGTCGTGGAGGCTGCCATGACAGTCGAAAGACGATCGAAGCACCAAAACGGCCGAACATGACTATAAAACGGATTGGATTTTTCACGAGACGACCCAACATTGCCTTATGACGGCCCCAAACTGCATCAACATAGCTCACGAGGAGCATCCGGAGAGCCCAACGAGGTACACAGACATCTGCTCCCCTAAAATTGCCATTGTTTTTGTGATAATCGCGCTTCCTTGCTTCCGTCAGCTCAGGACGGTCCAGGACGCTTTCGAAATCGCATTTACAAAAAGGCCAACGGAAGTTCCAACATGAGTTCGCGCGCGTCCAAAACAGCTTCAAGACAACGCGAGCGAACGCAAATAATGGTCAGGGGCACCTTGGGTGGGTTTGGCGTCTTCCCGGGGGTCATCAAAGCTGCCACAACAGCCAAACAAAACTATCAAAACCGCTACGACGGTCACGAAAACCCCAAGACGGCCCCAGAAAACCCCAAAACAGCCAAACATTACCCTGTGACGTACCCAACCCATTTGTATCAATGGAAACGAGGAGTTGGCCGAAACTTGTATGGACAATCAACTTGATGTGTAAGCTACTTCGGAGGCGTCACTGTGCTGGGCCCCGCAAGCAGGCCTCGAACGTGGCGACAGTTTCACAGATCGCAGCCCCCAAGGGATGGCGAGGTCTAATTTGAATCTGCGTGTGGCGTCACTGTGCTGGGCCCCCCAGCAGGCCTCGAGAGTGCCGACAGTTTCACAGATCGCAGCCCCCCAGGGATGGCGAGGTCTAATTTGAATCTGGGTACCCACTGTGCTGGGCCCCGCAAGCAGGCCTCGAAAGTGGCGACAGTTTCACAGATCGCAGCCCCCCAGGGATGGCGAGGAATCCGTCTAATTTGAATTTGCGTGGGTACCCACTGTGCTGGGCCCCCCAGCAGGCCTCGAAAGTGGCGACAGTTTCACAGATCGCAGCCCCCCAGGGATGGCGAGGTCTAATTTGAATCCGCCGTGGGTACCCACTGTGCTGGGCCCCCCAGCAGGCCTCGAAGTGGCGACAGTTTCACAGATCGCAGCCCCCCAGGGATGGCGAGGTCTAATTTGAATCTGCGGTGGGTACCCACTGTGCTGGGCCCCCCCAGCAGGCCTCGAAAGTGGCGACAGTTTCACAGATCGCAGCCCCCCAGGGATGGCGAGGTCTAATTTGAATCTGCGGTGGGTACCCACTGTGCTGGGCCCCCCAGCAGGCCTCGAAAGTGGCGACAGTTTCACAGATCGCAGCCCCCCAGGGATGGCGAGGTCTAATTTGAATATGCGTGTGGGTACCCACTGTGCTGGGCC